TCTCACTCCGCGTGTGTGGTTGGGGTGTGTGTTGTGTTGTTTTATCGCAATCAATTGATGAGGGGGGGTATTTTGTGTTGGACAAACACTGGTTTAAGGAGTTCCAGACAGGGGCTACCTGAATGTCCCTATGTACTCCAAAGTATCTCGTTGCCTTTGAATCTGAAGCCCTGCACAGCCTTTCTCTGGATGACAAAAACTCTGTTCAGGTCTTACATTAAAGCTTGTGTCTCCACTCCCCCAAACCATTTTTGTGGCTCTGGCAACTCTCTGCGTCTACAATTGCCAGAAATCAGTGGTAGGGCTGCCACTATTCTGAACTGGGAAACACACAAGAACGGTCATGTACACCTTAAAATAGGTGTAACCTTTTCTTAAAAACAAAACCCAAATGTTATGTGATAGATATAAACACACAAGGAAGAATGAATGGGGGAGAGACCCTCTTTTCACTGAAGGCAGGACACAAAAGTTGTTGCTTTGAAAAGATGGTACGTGAGCATTAAAGGAGTTGATAACATCTGGGATAATGACTGGGCCCTAAATAGCTTTCAGAGGAGACTGTAAAACCATCTTGCCAGGATGGAGAAAAAAATGGGCAGGGACCATCCATACAGTCTCTGTGGGCGCAAGGAGAGTTTATGACCACATCATTTTTTCCATATCTAAAGGACTGTACAGAAAATTGCCCAATGGCTCCCATTTCAAAAAGCAAGCAAAGTGAAAAAGAAAATCTTTCCAGCAGAGCTGTCCTTCCTGCTTTCTGTGACATGACGAACAAGAAAGGACAGTTTACAGAGCAGAATATTCTTATCACAGCCTCATCCTTAAGTACACTTAATTAAAAATGTTAAGAGTATCTGCTGAAGTAAGATTAACTGATTTTACAGATTTCTAGAACACGTTTCAGGGCAGAGTCCTCACAAAGTGACATGCATTTTTAAGATAAAACATGATGTGAAAATACTTCAAAAACACATCGTCTCCCTAAAAATGAATCATGGTATAGCAAATCATAAAAGATTCCTGAAATGAAAAAGTCTTGACATTTTTTTCAAATAAAAAATGGCATCAAATGGTTTTTCAGGTGGAGAAAAATTAACCTATATAGGGTCATTGCTGAAAAAGGCCTGCTAGCTTTTTTATACCTTGGAATACTATTATTACAAAAATGATGTTATAAATTAATAATAAAGCCAAGACCAACAGGTGTGTTTAACAATTTAAAACAGTTACATAGAGTGAATAAGCAGTGATTTCACTGAAACAAAGGCAACTGTGCACCTGAGAAATAACAGCACGCAAGCAGGGGAAACAAGGGAGCAAAAGATGACGCGTGTGATGACATTATGATGTAACATATTTACACTGGATATCATGATACAAATTCAGAATTGTGGGGTCTGTGGGATGACATCGTCATTTTGATATCGCTGATTTTTATTGCATGTAGCCTTGGGCGCAAGCAGGAAGAGGGGGATGATACTTTGTGTTAAATCCAATCTCTGCCACCAGGAACCCAGGGCAGAACTAGTGCTAGTACTGTTTTGAGCTCCATGGTAAAATAACTGGTTTATTTTTACAACTCTCAAAATTAATTAACATTAATTTCTTAGATTAAGGAAGGAGGGAGGTTTGAACTCTGAGTTGGGTTTAATTCATGCTAACTAAATATAAGATAGCAACCACCTTCCGGGTATTTTGAAGAAGTCTGACCACTGGACCTCCAATAGCTTTCATTCAGCCAGAGGTATGAGCAACAAGCCCTTTTCTTTGATAATTTCCTAGCAAGGCTGAAGAAGCTGGGTTCTCTCCTTGAATCCCTCAGTGTGGCCCACAGGATGGCTCCTATAAAAACTCATGTAATAACATATTGTCCAAAGCATGCTAGAGTAATTGTGAGAGATTGTTGCTCGTAAGTGACTTTCTTAATCTACAGCCCTTGGCCTGGTGGGGGGTGGGGGGTGGGGGGCAATAACTGTATAATTAAGAGACCCTTTGCAAAGCATCCTGACAGGAAAAGGGGTTCTTAAAAGACAGCTCCATCTGCTGGCAAGTGAGAGCACTGACTGTCTTGATGCCAAGCATGAATGGGCTCATGGAGAGGCATCGTTGATATGAATGGGCACCAACCCCTGGGGACTGCCTAGGGCAGTGTTGTCCAAACTTGGCCACTTTAAGATGAGTGGACTTCAACTCCCAGAATTCCCCAGCCAGCCATGCCGTAAAGTATCAGTCAGAATGGCTCATGCATGGCAATAGAGGGGATCCCCTAGGCCAGTGTTGTCCAAACTTGGCCACTTTAAGATGAGTGGACTTCAACTCCCAGAATTCCCCAGCCAGCCATGGGGAAAAAGTGGCCAAGTTTGGACAACACTGGCCTAGGGGATCACCTCTATTGCCATGCATGAGCCATTCTGACTGATACTTTACGGCATGGCTGGCTGGGGAATTCTGGGAATTGAAGTCCACCCATCTTAAAATTCCCAAGGTTGAGAAACACTACTTTAGGGCTTCAAGGAACATTGAGAATGGCTTATTCCCAGATAAGCTGGCCTAAGCACTATTGGGGTTGTCCTGTTCTGAGTATCTGCATCTTCAGATATGCTAGACTGTGTGCAAGATTTGTGGGTCCCCACTGCTGCTCATCTTTCAAGGGCAATTAGGATCTTCCCCTCTTGGGACTGGATAAGCTTTTCAAGAGGCAACCTTTTCACGGGGCAATTGAGATGGCTGCTTTTAAATCAGGGCCACTAACAGTTTTAGATTAATGTTGATTGTCAGTGTATTCATTATCAATAGTAATACTACTGATATGTAAGTTGGCCTTACTGAAATTAAGAATATGATAGAATTTGCCTCTTTCCCATTCATTTTTTCAGAAAATCCAGCACTGGGAGAGTACAAAGTCTTAACAGGCACATTTCTGCCTTCCTTCTTCTCCTCTTCCTCCTCCTCCTCTACTTGAGTAATATAATAATTCTATACTGATGGAAATTAGATATTTATATTTCCAGCCCATCCGCTGGCATGTTTACAAGCAGTAACCTGCACCCTACCTGCATCTTTGATGTCTGTGATTCATTAGTGAAGCAAATACAATGTACTCAAAACACCATTATGTATGTACCATAACACTGAGCTACTGCTTCCTGTTTATGAAATTCGTGCACTGACAGCTAAGCTACTATGGTTTGAGCTCATCGTTCCTTCCATGTTTAACATAAATAAAACTCAAGGTGATGCATATACATTTTGAAACCCCATTTCAACTGAAATTATCTGTAGATAGGAAGTATAAGATTAAGGTCTAAATTGGATCCAGAATTAGTCATACTAAAGAGTAAATTGGTTGAAGTAATGAAGCAAGTTAGTCACTTACTGGTTGTAGCCATCAAATCCCAGTTTGCACTCATGGGTTACTATCTCCAAGGCTGCCTTTTTATCCTCCCATGGAGCTAGTGATAATGTCCCATTGAAGAGGGCATTTTGCCAAATTGGGGGGGTGGCGGCAAAAAAGGGCAGCCAGACAGTATTCCCCCCCCCCCACCTGCATTCTTTCTTTGTTGGGCTTGTTTTCTGCTGTCCACGACTGAGCTTATTGAGTTTCTTGAAGAAGTGAATTGAATCCTTAATATATATTGGCATATATTGTCCAATGTAAGGCTATAAATCTGCAGCTAGGTTTTTGGCAATATTTTATGTAGGGGAACCAATGGTGCTCACAACTGGATGCAATGGCACAAACATCGATCTTTTTGGATCTTTGGTAACCCTTACAAAC